CCGCCGGGGGCGGAGGGGGGACCCGCCGCGCCCTGCGCCCGCGCCATGCCGCTGCCGCTGCTGCTGCTGCTCTTCCTGCTCCTCGTCCTGCTGCTGCTGCTGCTGGTCGAGGGCGAGGGCGCCAAAGATCCTGGGTCTCAGGCTTGGGCCGGGGACTGGAGGGCGCGCAGACCCCGGATGGCGTCCGGGGGCCCCTTCGAGGGCCCGAGACGGTCTGAGGTGCAGGTCGGGGGGTAGCCGGAGGCCTAGAACTACTACCACCACCCCCACCCACCCCGCCACCTGGGCCCCGGGGGTCAGCGCGGCCTAGAGCAGCCGAAGCCCGGCCTCCAGGGACAAGCTGATGGGCCCGCCCGGCGACTCCGCCTCGCCTGCCTTTCGTTCCCAGGGTTTACCTCGCAAGAACACTGCTGGAACTAAAACTTCAGCTTTTCCCACCTCTGTCTTCTGCTTTATTCCTTGGGCCACGGGGAGGGTGGGGTCAGGAGGCTTTAGCTCCACAGTTATGTACCTATGTGCCCCAATTATAATAGAGGAGCCTGAGAGCCGGGCGCCAGGGGCCCGCGGCCTCTAATCCTACCTACCGACGAGCTGAGATCTGAGCTTCGCAGTTCAACGCCAGCCCCGGCAGGAAAGTCCGGGAGACTCTCATCTCCAATTAACCAACAGAAAACCGAAAGGGGCGCTGTGGCTCAAGTGGTAGCTTGCTTGCCTTGAGCTGAAGAGCTGAGGGACAGCGCCCAGACCTGGAGTTCAAGCCCCACGACCAACTATATATATATATATATATATACATACACACACATATGTATGTATATATAGTATACATATACATGAATACACATACATATATCCATATATGGATATATACGTATATATATATATATATATATATATATGAACCTGAGTTTACATATTATACATTGGCATGGCACATTACAGCTGACAAGTTTCATTTCAATTGATAACATTCCATCTAATTCTGAATTTTTTTAAATTGTGACTTTGCCAAAGCACCCACGTGGTTTGGCATTGTTGATTTCCACATGGTGATAGTTTAAACTACTAAACTATCCCAACCATCATTAAGCAGTTAGAAACAATCTCTTGTTTTAGGTATCATCACAGGATGTGCTGGCTACAAATCATTTATTCATTAAATAGAAGGTGGAGAGGAGCTAGTTCATTTAACTCAAGTTCATTGCTTTAAGTACTTATATATGAACATTGCATATCCATTACTGTAAAATTCAGAATTTGCACTACTTCTCTTTTTTATTTCTCTTAATAAATAAGTGGTTTTTCTGTTCACTGTTGAATGAAAGACTTGTTTCTGTCTTTTGGTTTCTTTTGTGAGGATCCTGGGGTTTGAACTCTGGGTCTGGGTGCTGTCCCTGAGCTTTTGTGCTTAAGATTAACACTCTATCATTTGAGCTACAGCTATACTTCCAACTTTTAGGTGGTTAATTGGAGATAGAGTCTCACAGACTTTCCTGCCCAAGATGGCTTCAAACTGTGATCTTAAAATCTCAGCCTCCTGGTAGCTATGATTACAGGTGTGAGCCACCAGTACCCTAGCTGCAAGATTCATTTCTGGAGCCTACATTCCTATAGACCACAAAATTAGTACTATGATATCCAACATGTTATTTTATCATAGTAGAAAAATTGCACTAGACTTCTCCTTCCTAAAAAAATTAATGTATGCATATATATGTACAAACACACATACATATATATGTAGATATTTATACATAAAAGAAGTAAAGCCTATTTTGCCTATTTTGATAAGCTATCTGAATCAGAACAGTCCTGTTTAACCTTGCATGTTTACATAAGCCAAATTACAACAGTTGTTGTAGCCACCTTATAATAGCTTATAATCCATAGTTTTTTCATCTATAAAAGGACAATCATTCTTACTACACAGGATTGTTCTAAGTCTAAAGATAGTTCAACTGGCTGCTGATAACTCATACCTGTAATCCAAGCTATGCAAGAAGCTTGAAACGTGCAGTTTAAAGCCAGCCTGGGAAAAACTTGAGACTGTATCTCTAAAATAGCCAACAAAAAGATGAGCTGAAGTTGTGGTTCAAGTGGTAGAGCACTAAGTGAGCAAGCCAAGCTCAAGGTCCTAAGTTCACACCTCTGTACCAGCAAAAAGAAAAAAAAAAGTTGACAACGCAATTTGTATAGTGCTTATCATACACAATAGTAAATACTCAATAAATCATTGTTGGTATTAAGAATGTAGATCACAGTATTAATAAAATAATTTAAATGCCCAAATATAGGGTAAGGTTTAGTAAATCATTCAATGAAATACTGCTTAATTAAAATCTCAGTATTGGATTGGAGGCTTGATTCAAGTGGCAGACTGTCAGCTGTGAGCAAAAAAGCAGAGCTTAAGCTTGAAGCCCTAAATTCAAGCTCCAGTACCACCACCACCAAAAAAAAAAAAAAAGCTTAAAAAAACCCTTGAAATACAAACATTACTGAAGAATAATACCTAGGAATTCTCACTTGGGAATAATATTATCTAGGAATTTTATAATATGTCCCCTATAGTGTGATTATTTTAATTTGTTCCTTTATGATTTTGTTTTTCCTAATTTCCACCCTAAACATGAATTGCTTCTTCAAAAAAACTATTTTAAAAAACTATTCCAAAGCAAAATATTAATGTTTAAGCAAATGGTTCAGAGTAGGTTTTGACCAAATACCTATATGTAATTTAAGAATTACACATTCTAGCCCAGTGCTGGTTGCTCACACTTGTAATCCTAGTTACTCAGAAGCCTGAGATCTGAGGACTGAGGTTCAAAACCATCCCAGGCAGGAAAGTCAGTGAGACTCTTATCTCCAATAAACCACCAGAAAACCAGAAATGGCGCTGTGGCTCAAGTGGTAGAGCACTTGCCTTGAACTGAAGAACTGAGGGACAGCACCCCAGCCCAGAGTTCAAGCCCTACAACCAAAAAAAAAAAAAGAATTACACATTCTGAGGACAAAATGGATATATGAAATCACCTTAGAATATATGCCTGATGTTATTTCCACAGATCCTCTAGTCTTAAAAAGCTGTTCAGGAACCTCAAGTCCTGCAGTTATATGTACATCTTGGTATCCCTAGATCGCAGGGGCATGGGATGTGCACAGGACCCTTGCTTTTATTATTAAGAGGCATAGGCCTTCCACTCAGTGATCCAAAACAAAGGCAATGCTGCATGTATTTATTCATTCCTTACTTCCAAAAACGTATCCAAGATGGCTGTTACAGTAAACAACTTGTAGAAAATACCATTGTTAGATTTTACTTTTAAAGAAAAAGGTTCATAATATTCCCTAAAAAAAAATGATGCCTACAATATGTCTGAGACAAGCAGAAAAGGTCAGATAAGTTGATGTTAGGTGAAATGAACCCCAAGATAAGTATTCAAATGTTTTTTCTTTCATGCGATTGTTTCTAACATATTTATAAGATGATTTCTTTGTTGCTTTGTATGTCCCTCCCCCTTGGTATAACCCCTGCTTTCACTGTATTTGATGTTGGTATAATTTGTGGAGGAGAAGACCAAAAACAAGTCATTTAAATAGGGATACAGGTGGACCCATTCCAACAATGAGATGTACAAGTCGTTATGTCAAAAAACGAACTTTACAATTTGGGGAGGGAGGGATGGGAAGGGGAAACAAAGGAGGAGGCAACAATGCTTGAAGTGAAGCAAGCCAGGCCAAAGAAACATAGGTCCCATGGTTTCCCTTATTTGCAATAACTAGTATATGTCTGAGACAAGCAGAAAAGGTCAGAAAAATTGATGTTAGGTGAAATGAACCCCAAGATAAGTATTCAAATGCTTTTGCTTTCATGCAATTGTTTCTAACATATTTATAAGATGATTTCTTTGTTGCTTTGTATGTCCTTCCCTCACGGTATAACCCCTGCTTTCACTGTATTTGATATTGGTATAATTTGTGGAAGGGAAGGGAAAAAACAAATAGTTTAAATAGGGATACAGGTGGACCCATTGCAACAATAAGATGTGTACAAATCGTTACACCGAAAAAGAAAAACGAACTTTACAACTTTGGGGGGGTGATGGGAAGGAATGGGAAGGGGAAACAAAGGAGGAGGCAACAATACTTGAGAAGAAATTACTCATTATCTTGTAATTGTAACCCCTCTGTACGGTATTTTCACACACACACACACAAAAAAACGATGCCTACATACTAAGATAGAACCTCATTTTGCTTGGCTTTGTGGAAGCCAAGGCAGAAAGGAAAAGGACTTTAATGATTGTGATTATTTGGCTTTTTAAAGTATAATGCCGTTTCTTTGAATAGGAATACACTTTTTGGTATCTCTCCCAAACTATGTTTATCCCTTTTTAAAGTATATAGAACAACATAGGTGAAAGAGGTTCAATTTTTAGAGAAAGTGTAAAATCAAACTTGATCTGATTGTTCTCTTGAAGAAGACAATTTGATCAATGGCTAAGGGGTAACAGTAGAACACATGTCATCAAAGAGCAAGCAACTGGTACTCCACCATTT